AATATATTTATTTATTTAAAGTAACTAATGTTTTAATCATATACTCTACGACACTGGTCACTCATTTCCACTCAAAATACCTACATAATCGGATTAAAAGTTTTATAGCTGTATTGTATTTCTTCAGATACAAGGTGGGTTAGTCGAAAACATCTTAAACTGCCAGTTTTAGTTTGGTTTTTGTTATTATATCATATTAGCTGTCCTCTCTGTATTTCAGTTCTCTAATGAGGGTCAAACTTGCAGTGAGCTATCAACAAATTATGAACTGACTATAGTGATTTCTAGTTCGTAAGTTGTATTTATGTTCACTCAGGTAGCCCACCTTTCTTGTTGATGCGTTGCTATTGACCGAAGTGTTATTACCTGTTGATGACGTTACATTGCATTGTACTGCCCCCCATGCCTCCTTCCGGGTTGAGTTTCGTTGGCCTTGGGTGTTTGTCCCTTTCTCGGAACCTGGGGTCATCCATGTTCAACGCATCGTGTAGATCGCGTAGCGCTGGGTTGTTGTGCGATCTGATTCTATCGAACACGCTTTCTGCGTGTTCTCTCATAAACACGTTCACATATTGTGTGTCTAGGTCTGAGTCTCTGTATATAAACCTATTGAGGATGTAGTACGGTGCGTTCACGGCGGCCCTTACGCTCGCGTTCATGAACGACTGTATCCTCTTCCTGAATATCTGTGCGCAATGGCCCCAGGCAGTGCATGCGTACAGTATTATGAGCATGAGAAAGGTTTTGATCAGCAGCAACTTCACTTTCAACCCCATGTTGCTTCTGCGTCCTATGATTGGTGCCAGTCGTTGTCTGGCGTGTCTGGCCATTCCGATTCTCTGCCGTACATGAGACTGAAATGTTAATCTCCTGTCTAAGGTGACCCCCAGGTATCTTGCTTTGTTGGTCCACGGAATCTCTTGTCCGTTGAAGATGACGTTGCCTTCCGGTTGTACGAACCTGCGGGTGAACAGTATCGCCTGACTCTTGTCAGGGTTCATACTGATCTTCCACAGGTTGGCCCACTCCTCTAATCTGTTCGCCTGTTGTTGCAAGTACCTTGTGAGATATACTTGGCTCGTGGATCTCGCCAGCAGAGCCATTGGTTTTGAATATCCGAAATCGCTCATTTTGGCCAGTAGTCCGTCATGCCAAACTCTGTCGAACACTTTGGAGACGTCTAAGAAGATAGCTCCGGTGTTGTGTCCTTTTCTGCCGAGGTTGAAGCCCTCAGGACTTGAAGCTCTGTCGAGTGTTCCGAACTAAAACCGAATTGCTCTCTTCAAGGGTCTCTTCAAGATGACACGCTCCGCGACTTTGCTTATGGAAGGAAGTAAGCTAAATGACTTGTGATTGTCTGGAAACAGGTGGTTCTTCTTGGGCTTCGGGATGTGGATAACCGTTGCCTATTTGAACGGTTTCGGGAAATGCTGCAATCTGAGTATAGCGTTTATGATTTTGGTTATGGCTGCTATACCCTTGCGCGGTAGTCCTTTCAGTGCCCGGTTTGTTATGTTGTCGGGGCCTGGTGCTTTCCGAGTAGATAGACGTCTTAGGATGTCTTTCACTTCCTCGGGAGATGTCGGGGACAGGGGTTGCGCGTTGTCCGTTTTGTGTCTTAGTCTTCGTACCATTCTTTCCACCTGTCTCTCTATTTCGTTTACCTCGTCCGTGAACGGGACGTCGTTCTCTCTGAACTGCCTTGTCCGCGAATGCTTCCACCTTCTCCTGGTCAGTGTAGACCATGTAGGCATGGCTATCGCGATCCGTTCTTGAGTACTTTCTGCATTCTCCTTGCAGAATGGTCTTCTTCAGTGTTCAGTTCTTCTAGACGGGTAGTCCATTGTCTCTCTCGGATAGCTTTCAGTTCTTCTTTCGGTATCCTGTTGGCTCTTTGCATGCACCTTCTGTCCATAGGCGCGCGAGTCCTTTGGTATCGTCTTCTCAGGCGTCTTCTTATCCTGATCAGTTCCATCGTTTCTGGTGGGAGCTAATCTTGGAAGTTGAAGCGTGGGGCTGGGACTTTCCGTGCGCTCCTAGTACTGTTGCCATCATAGCATCTTTTATTATGGGATTCCAAATCCAGTCCAAATCCCGCCTTTCAATTTGATGCGTTGCTATTGGCCGAAGTGTTATTACCTGTTAATGTTAATGACGTTAATGACAATGTTAATGATGTTAATGACGTTACATTGCATTGCATCCACCTTAACATCTTTTAGTATGAGATTCCAAATCCGGTTAAGCGTTATCGCCTTCTCAGTTCTATCCACCAATATACGAAGATCTTTGGAAAGATTTTCAAGAAACTAGGTAAAAAGGTGGTATTCGGAACAAGTTATATACTACAGAGCCTTCTAGGAAATCCAAAGGGCAAAGTCGAGAATTCGGAAAAGTCTGGAATATACGAAATTAAATATAAGGACTGGGATGCATAATATCATCAACAGACCAAAACATCTACAAAAATAAGATATAAGGAATACTAACCACCCCTAAAATATGGAAGGTCACAAAAATCAGCAGTCTCCCATCATATTTTGCAACAAAATCATTCCATAGACTTTAGTTCATCAGGATTAATTTCACTAGCTCGGACTTCCATTGTCTACTATATAAAATGATTTGAAATCCCTGAAACAAACACAGCGGGGGGAAACCAGCAAATCAAGAATAGCAGACCATGTTTGGACTCATCAACACATCGAGTAGTCCCAAGCTGAGATCTTGCACAGAGAGGAACATTGGTTTAGGAAAAAATTCAAGGAAGCCGCATACATGTTGTCCAACAACGTATTCAGCCTAGCCAGCGTAGAAATACGCAACATATGGAAACCCATCATCAAGCGAAAAATGGCCAACTCCCGCCAAAACGGTCATCTCCCACGGAACCAGTAAAGCGGAAAATGAAAAGCGGGGATAAGTGAAAATACTCGAACGACCTATAAATAGTCATCTCTCGGAGGAATCAGTCCAGTCATCACCCGAAGACGATTGTAGATACTAACAATCGAAACGTCGTGAACTAACATGACTTGGAATCTCTCCACTTTTTAATTTTATTTTCTTTTTTCATTTCTTTATTTTTATTTTTATTCAAATGTTCTATTTTTACTTGTATTTTATTTTACTATTATTTCATTTCAGGTTCATTTTGCTCAATATAATTGTTATTTTCAGCTATTCATTTTTAATACTTCTTTTTTAGTTGTTTCAGGGATTTCAAATCATTTTTATATAGTAGACAATGGAAGTCCGAACCAGTGAAATTCATCATGAAACATTGTCAATCACCTTCAAACAAACTAATATTCCATTCATTTATATGATTCGTTGTAAGAACAATACATAGACTCACAAACATAACATGAGTTTTTGACGTTTTTTACAGGTATGCAATTATCTTTCATTCAACCTCCACTACATCCATCGAAGTTATCAACAACTGTTCAACCAATATTGACAACAACAGTTCCAACAATAGAGAAACGTTTACCATGGCTGATAGGAATTTTAGATGCCAATAAATCGATGAATATATCTGGAGGTAATTTACATTTACTGAGTGTATTCGTTTGAGTTGAAATAGTATCCCAAAGTTACGAGTCACTTGCATCTTTCAGATAATAAGCGTTCTATTAAATGAGAATGCAACCATAACGCCATCACAAAAAACTGCAAATAAGACCTACATACAGAGTGGTCCAACGAAAAGTATGCACCTTGCTTTTCTCCTTTTTTTTGTATCTTAACGCAAAAATGCTCGGACAAGTCAATTTTGCTTTTGAGGGGGACACATTTTAGATGTATCTTTCTATCTGTACCTTCAACCCCCTAGCGAGGATGAGTAACAACCCTAAAATTGCAAATGGAAAGTGGGGTCAAGTGATATATCATTTGAAAGGGCACAAAATTATCTTTCCAATGATACCTAATTTGTTGTATTTCACTCAAACATGTAGGTATTATGAAGAAAAACAACTACAACCCAGTACTTTGGAATGTGTAATTGACTTAGTAGAATCCTACTTCAGCAAGTGCTGAAAATGTGACCCATTTGCTTCCATACAATAAAACACATTTCGATCAAATCTATTCCTAACATTCTGTAGCATATCAGGTGTTATACTTCTGCACTCTGTAATTCGTTGGCAAAGACCTTCTATGGACTCGGGCTGCGTAGCAAAACATTTATTTTTCAAGTGTCCCCAAAGGAAAAAGTCTAAAGGCGATAAATCAGGTGACCTGGCAGATCATTCGATGGGACCTCTCCTTCCAATCCACCGTCCAGGAAACCGGTAATCTAAAAACTCTCTTACCGGAGCAACATAGTGAGGAGGTACTCCATCTTGCTGGAAATGAAGCCTATCATCATTATGATTTTGGTCATTTTCAATTATTTCTGTTATGAGAGGATCAATTGTATCTTCAAGTATGTTCAGGTAGACCTCACCAATCAAATTCCCAGGAATAAACAGTGGCCCTACGGTATGACTTCCTAATATGCCACACCAGACATTGATTTTTTGAGGGTACTGGGTATGGACCTCTCGGAATAAGTGTGGGTTACTGTCATCCCAGTAACGGCAATCATGCCTATTCACAGCTCCATTAAAAAAAATGTACTCTCATCGGGAAAGCACGTGTTGAATGATAGGTGCGGATCATCAATTAGTAGCTGGCTCAGTTGTTCACAAAACATTTTTGCGTTAAGTTACAAAAAAAGGAGAAAAGCAAGGTGCATACTTTTCGTTGGACCACTCGATATATCCCAAAGTAATTATTGAGTTTCGTAGAGAAAAGGTTTTATATTTAGTGTTTTCAAATAAAACTCTCCTCGAAACTACTCTTATAATGCCACAAAAGAGTGAACTTGAACTACTTGAACTCTGCCGAAGAAGTAAAAGAACAATCATTCAAAGACCCTGGTTCCTTGAAACTATCAACAGAAAGTTTGTCGAGAGAAATTGCAATTCGTTTCATTTGTAACAAAAAAGTAAATGAGATACAAATAATGTCGTGAATAACAAAACGGGAAAATGAATCACCTATATTTAGTATTTTCGAAGACACAAGTTATCAAGAAGCTACATTGATGGATGTGATCAGAACTGTTCAATAAAATTTTCAAACGAGTGAGCCAAAAACTTGTGGCCTAGAAAAATCTATTGGATAAAAACCAGTCCATTGGAAATCAAAATGTTCAATAGTTCAAGCCGTGTATCTGATTCAAATGCATCTTCATCAAACTTGATCAAACAATGAATGCAGAGGGCACACTTCATTAGCAAGCGATAACTAGAAGAAGTTAACATTTTGCTGAAAGCAGAAAACCATTTAGTGTTCCATATCATACCATTTTGTTTTTCGGCGTATCTTATCCAAATTAATAATACAGTGCATTCCGTTTACAACCAGCCACACTGAATACCTTTTGGAACAATGATTTGCAGGAAAAATTAACAAACATCCCAACAATAGTATACAGGGCGACTCATTTTGACATATTCACATTTGATCTAACTTTCGCCATTTTTTTTAATGGATCAGTTGTTTTGCATTATCAAATGTTCCACGATGAAAATATTTCAACAAAGAAGAATACATTATGGTCTGAAGCTCATAGTTTGGAAGCTAAAAATTAGTTGAGTTGACAACAAGCCACCCTAAATGAACTTCTGTACAATCTGTTACCTCGGTTTCATAGGTGTTTTTGTGAAGTATACTTCAAATAAGTCTTATTTTTCCTAGTTAAGTTTGAATTCGATATTCTTTTCATTTTGCATTTGTCTCATTCTACAATAACATTCTGTTTTTGTGAATTCTTGAGAAGCAATGATTTATACGCTTAGCGAACGAATTGAAAAAGTGGGTTTGTACTACCAGAATGGAAATAGTGCTAGAGCTGCTGCCCGTATGTTCAATGACAATGGTCCAGGAAGAAATGTACGACACAAATACGTTTCGAAATTATTGAACAGATTTATAGAAACTGGATCTGTTAACAATAAAAAGTATAACCGTTCAGGAATTGTCAACGATGAAGCTATTTGAACTGCGGTTTTGGGGCACGTTGCACTGATAGAAAATACGCAATCTCTTACTAAGTTACCTCGAGAATCAGGAATTAGTCGTTCAAATGTTTTAAGGAGCCTTCATAAGTAAAAATTTCATCCAATAATAATAATAATGAATAAGTCTTATTGTCCAAAGGAAAGTTCTTATCGACAAAGCTTTGGTGAACATTTTGAGAAAGAAAAAACATAGTCAAGTGCATGAAATCAGAATATAAGCTAGTAGATTGATAAAAATATCTAGAGTTCTACCATAAATATAAAAATAAAAATTTTGAAAGTCGCATTTTCTGAAAAACATTGGATTATATACAATATAAATGCAATATAAACAAATATAAACAAAATAATATATCTAGAT